CAGGTGTGAGCCACCGTGTCTGGCCAATATATATAATTTTAACATGTCTAATAATGACTTTTAAAAAGTACAAATACAGAGGCCTAATTAGTTTTAGTAATATATTTTATTTAGCTTCATCCATCCAAAGTATTATTTAACAATGTAATCAACCTAAAAATTATTCTTATTTTTGGAGGTATTTTCTCTTTTTCTGGGATACTATGTCTTCAAAATCCATTGTGTATTTTATACTTATAGCTCATCTGAATAAGGACTAGCCTTATTTCAAGTAAGCAGGAGCCACATGAGACTGGTGACTGCCGTATTCACAGCGCAGCTTGATAGCAGTTTAGCTTCAGGATTTTTGTTTTTGTTTTTGAAATGAACTAAATTGCCAAACCTACGTGTAATATACCTGATAGACTCATATCCTTAATGTCATTTGATTTGTTTCTTCAGGACCAACAACCTATTTTATTCACTTTGCCTATATAAAAAGTATTATTATTAAATATGTACTATGCACAAATGACAAAACATTTCACAGCATCAAATGGTAGGAAATATAAAAAGGAGTGTCCTTTCATTACATCTCCAAGCCCTGAGGTGACCATTATCACGTATACATGCAGATTTTTTCCATGTATATATGAGACATGTATATCTTTTTAAAGTATCAATGAGGACATAACTTAGTTTTCACAGTCCTGATAAAACACTTGATAAAACTTTGCTATATGCATAAGATTATATAGGATATTTTCATGTGTCAATTCTTCTTCTTCTTTGTTTTTTGAGATAGAGTCTCGCTCTGTCACCCAGGTTGGAGTGCAATGGCACAATCTCATCTCCCTGCAACCTCCACCTCCTGTGTTCAAGCGATTCTCCTGCCTGAGCCCCCTGAGCAGCTGGGATTACAAGCGTGTGCCATCACGCCCGGCTAATTTTTGTACTTTTAGTAGAGACGGAGTTTCACCATGTTGGCCAGGCTGGTTTCAAACTCCTGACCTCAGGTGATAAGGCCACCTCGGCCTCCCAAAGTGCTGCGATTACAGGCGTGAGCCACCGCGCCCAACCCTTGTAAATTCTTTACTAGCAATTAGGAAAGAAAAAGAAAAAGTAAATACGTGGGATCTTGAATTTGATGCTATTTTTAGACATTGATTTTGTAGGTTCCAATATTTTGATATTCATAGAAATAACCAGCGGCCATAAGTTCTGTAATATCAAATGAAGTAGCACTCTTCTATGGACTATACACTTTACATTCATTTTATGCTTTGTTTCTTTTTTTTTTTTTCTTTTTTTTTTGAGACGGTGTCTCGCTCTGTCGCCCAGGCTGGAGTGCAGTGGCGCGATTCGGCTCACTCCCGGGTTCCCACCATTCTCCTGCCTCAGCCTCCTGAGTAGCTGGGACCACAGGCGACCACCACCTCGCCCGGCTAATTTTTTGTATTTTTAGTAGAAACGGGGTTTCACCGTGTTAGCCAGGATGGTCTCGATCTCCTGACCTCGTGATCCGCCTGCCTTGGCCTCCCAAAGTACTGGGATTACAGGCGTGAGCTACCGCGCTTAGCCATGTGGTTTGATTTTTTACTTATTTCCTCAATCAGGCAGTCAAAGAACATTCGAGATCCTGTCATGTGTCAGACACTGTGCGGAGAGATGGAGCTAAAACTGTCAACAAGATGAATGCAGCCTCTGAAATAAAGAGTTTGTAATCCAGTGGATTCTCTGTTCATGCAAGGCTTCTCGCATTTCCTCTACATTTTGCTCCATCAAAAAATATATATATATATTTCAAAACACTCATAAGTTTGTTAACCTTAAAGTGGAATCAGCTGATACAAAATAAAAGCATTTTGCGTTTCAAAAAGTGATAAAGCCTAATAAATAACTCACTAATGGTGAAATTTTGGAGACATTTATTTTAGACTGGAGTCTTCCTAATTCAGAAAAAGTCAGTCCAGATTCTCTATTTTACATCCAAACTCCTCAAATGACCTATCTACATTCTGTCTCTTTTTTTTTTTTTTGGAGGAGGAGTCTCACTCTGTCGCCCAGGCTGGAGTGTAGTTGCGCAGTCTTGGCTCCCTGAAACCTCCACTTCCCCAGTTCAAGCAATTCTTCTGCCTCAGCCTCCCGAGTAGCTGGGACTACAGGTATGTGTCATGATGCCCAGCTAATTTTTGTATTTTTAGTGAAGATAGGGTTTCACCACATTGGCCAGGCTGGTCTCCAACTCCTGACCTCAGGTGATCCGCCCACCTTCGTTTCCGAAAGTGTCGGGATTACAAGCATGAGCCACTGCGCCAGGCCCTAATCTATTCTCTCTAACTGTTTTTATTTCCTGGCCTAGAGCTCCCTACCATTCCACTGAAATGGATTTAAGAACACAAATAACGTTATCAGTAACTCCAATGATCTTTCATTAGAACTTCTCTTCCATTATTTTATGGCATTTTAAATTTTTAAAATCACTCCTTCTGCATTGAAAAACTATTATACTGAGGTTCGACACCATAATTTGTTTAGCTCCCCTCCCACTTCTGTGTGGAATCATTTTTTTTTTCTCCTTTAAAAGCTTTTCTTCTTTTGATCTCATAATTGTGTGAGTTCTTCAGGCTACTACTTGAGCAATTAAGCCCATATTTAAAATTGTCACTGATGATCCATTATTTATAGCTTACCAACATGTGTTCTATGGAACACTGTTCTCACAAGACCACACTGAAAAACAATCAAGAACCCTGGCAAACATTTCTCCTTTGCCTGCACATTCTATAGACATCATAAAAATAAATCTTCTTTTTCCTGATCATACTTTCAGTCGGAGTGAACATATGATACAATTCTGACCAACACAGCATAAACTGAAGTCTGTTGACCCTTCGCTTTTCTTACTGCTTTTAACATGAACTCAAAGCAGGAACTGCAGTAGGTAATTTGCAATTTTGAAGGATGGGCTAAATGAATTGCAGCATCAGACTGCACGCTGCCCTGAACATAGGACAGCAACTGCTTACCTCCTGAGTTCTCACTACGTAAGATGAATAAATCCTTATTTGTTTGGACTTCCATCATCAGGCGATTTACACCTTGCAGCAGCGCACACTCTTAATTAGATATAAAAATGGTACAACCGTATGTCCTTCTTGGAACTTCAGAATGCGAGAATTAGAAAATTAGAGAACTGCGAAATTCCCAAGAGAAGAAACCTGTGGAATTCTGTTGAGTATGTCATCTCCTAAATTTATTCGATCAAGCAGACCTTTTCTTTTTTCTGTACTAAACTCCCAATGTCTCACAGAACTACGGCTCTCTAACTTTTTGCTTTTCCAAGTGTAATTTGTAGACCAGCAGTATCTGCATCATCTGGAACCTTGTTAGAAAACCCAAATATTAGGCTGCATCCTGGAATTAGAGTTACATTTTAACAAGATCTTCGGTTGATTTTTATAATATTAAATCTGAGAAGTGCTGCGTGGGAAACGCTGATTTAGAGAATGAAGGACAACTAACCTTAATATCCTTATGTGGCCTATGATTTCAAAGGCATCTGTATCACAAATGCCTGCTTCACAAATCATCACACCTAATTCTTATTGAACGCTCACTCTGTGCGAGGCATTATGCTAAGTGTTACACTTTTATAATTCTCAAAGCAACCCTATGAGGCAGGTACTATTGTAATCGCTATCTTGTAGATGAGATAGCTAAGGCTCAGAGAAGTCAAGTTGCCTACCCAAGGTCACATAGCTATTAAGTGGCAGAATCCTTGGCTTAAGGATTTAAGGATCACTTAACTATATTGGCTGTCTAACCTTTTGTTGCCAAGCACTTTCCTGCTCTGTGTACTTTACACACGTGATTCCCTCCGCCTGCAATATCTCCCCACGTACACCTTGTTAAAAGGTCTCAGCTCAAAAAGTCAGTTGTTCTGGGAAGCTTTTCTGATCTCCTACCCCAAAGTCAGGTCAGATCCTCCTGGTATACATTTCCCAGGCACATACCTTTACTTCATAGGTATCAACTTTTAAAATTATGTATATTTTGTGATTCTATGATTATTTACCAAAAAACTAAGCTCTGTGTGGACTTGAACTCTCTGTGCTTGACACGGAGTTGGTACACAAATATTTTTTAGAGTATCTTTTTTTTTTTTTCCTGAGATGACGTCTCACTTTGTTGGCCAGGTTGGAGTGTAGTGGCACGATCTCAGCTCACTACAACCTCTGCTTCCGAGGTTCAAGCATTCTCCTGCCTCAGCCTCCCGAGTAGCTGGTATTACAGGCTCACACCACTATGCCCAGCGAATTTTTGTATTTTTAGTAGAAACGGGGTTTTATCATGTTGGCCGGGCTGGTCTCAAACTCCTGGCCTCAAGTGATCCGCCTGCCTCAGCCTCCCCGAGTGCTGGGATTACAGGCGTGAGCCACCGTGCCTGGCCTTTTGGAGTATCTTTTACTCTCATTTGAAATGTTCTCTCCCTACTCTGCACCAATCCAAGTTCTATCCAGAAGAAGCTATAGGATGGTGGCAAAACATTTGATTTCGCATCAGAAGACTTGAATTTGAGGTCTTGTTCCCCTACTTTGTAACTTTGAGCAGTCACAAAAACTCAGACCCACTAATTCTCAGCTCTGTTAAATGGAGATAATAATAACCTCACAGGATTGGCGTTAGAATTAAAATGAGCCCTGTGAGAGAAGGGTATAACCTACATAAACTTCCTAAAAATGCAAGTAGCGTTTTGTAGTGATTAAGATCCCGGGTTGTGCTTAAAAGTTTCCACTCTGTAATCCAAAACCTGAGTTCAAATCCCAACTCATAGTATTAACGGTCTCTGCAGCTGATTCGGCAATCCATTATTTGCTGGATTTTGTCATGTGTTTTGCCAATTGCATTCAGAATTTATTATGCATTTATGCTTATATATCCTAAGTCATGGTATATAATCTATGCTTTTTGTGTTTTGTCTGACATAAGCTCGTATCAGAGCCTTTTGCACACAGGGATTCAATAAATATTAACACAATCTACGTTTATTTGGTGAATATAGCATATCTGCTGTACTGAAAGTACATTAAGTAACAAAGGCAAGTGAGAAGAATGAAAAGCAGTACTCACAACAGTTATGATTGCGCATGGTATGTTCGGAATGAGTATTTTTCAAATCACTTTACACAAAGCTGAATTGCAGAAATGAAAGCCCAACAGCAACAATTAAATGACATTTGGAATAAAATCATTTGGCCTAATTTTCATAACCACAGATTTCAGAGAATACCACCACCCATGCCAGGTGTACCAGACAATCCCATTGTCTGTTTTAGCCGTGTAGGGGCCGCTGTAGTATAAACCATTCAGGTTTGCAGAGTGACACCTAGTGGAAGGAGTGGAGAGAAAAAAAAAGAAAACAACAATCAGACTGGAAAAATATTGTTCAGAAACTCTTTTATTTTGCTAGCAAATATCCAAAACTTTTGAACCACGAATTCTGCCATTTTTCAGACAAGTAAATGTTTACTAGTTTCCAAAAGCTGAGAAATGTCTACAATAGATGGATATTGTGTTTTATTTTTTATTTTTTAATTTTTTTAAATAATAGAGACAGGAGCTCTCTATGTTGCCCCGACTGGTCTCGAACTCCTGAGCTCGAGCAATCCTCCTGCGTCAGCCTTTCAAAACGCTGGGATAACAGGTGTGAGCCACCGTGCCTGGACTCAGAGATGGGTATTTTAAACTGGTGAGTTTTACTGCCATAACAAATCTGAAAAAACAACCCAGGCCACTCATAGTGCATTGAAAAATAAGCATTTCAATTTTTGGTTGCCTTTAAATGAAAAATTAAAACAAGCCAACAAAAACCAATCCTTGTAACCTCCAGCCTTACAACCTCCTGACTCAGAACAGTGTTAATCTCATACTTAGCAAGAGCTAAGGTGAGTGTCAGCAAACTAAGGCACAGGCAAGGTGCTCTACGGCTGGCTTTCCTGGATAATTTGCACTCACACGTTCGTTCATCTGCTGCTAAGACTTAGCTTTCGTAATTCAAACTCCCTCCCTCTTCTTCTTTAAATTGCCAGCATATCAATTATTTTAATCTCAAGGGTAAGCAAACAAAACCTAAACCACCATTTAAAGTTTTCCCACCCATCAACCAATAATCATTTTTTCCTAGTTGCTGAGTTAATTTTTTACATGCATTGCACCAATCTAGATAAGCTGGTTAGGTTATCGACAATATAAAAATGTTTCTTTCCTCTTTTGGAGTCTGTAAATCTTGTCCTTGATATGTATAATTTACATGTAAGAGTGTGCAATAAGTTTGTGTGCGTTATTATGAAATCAATTACCGTATACTTCTTTATTGATACAATTAATGAAAAGATGTCAGAATTAGGATAGAAGGAGAACATTCACAAGAGATAGTTCTGAACATCTATGGAAAAACCCAAATTATTGAATCCAAAAAGCACATAATCTACCCATAAAGGCTGAGTGGCTGGCTTGAATCACTTATCAGCCTAACGATCCACTCCTACTGAGCATTCTCGAAGTCCTCCTAATTTAAATGGACGTAATTAATTGAAAATACGTATGTTAAGTCTGCACATGTCAAAGCCTACTGTGTTTTTAAAACATCATGGAAAGTAATGTTGCAAAAGAAAATACTGTAAATTGAGTCTCCAGAATATATATATTGGCATATATTTGTCTATCTAGAGATATCTGCTAACTGTATGTTTATATTTGGTCTATGATTTGAATCCCATTAGGAAACTAACTGTGATCAACATAAGAAACCTTCACTATTCTGAGACCAGTTTTCCAGCATCCTTTAATTTTTAGAACAGCCTGGATTTGAAACTAGATTGGGGGATGATTGGGGTTCCCTTGGTGAAGAAGTGGCTGTGAGCACTCATGTGAAATGCTACGCTAACAAAGACAAGACATCAACACACAGTGATTAGTTTGCTATATGGAAAAAGAACATCTTATAGGTGGGTCGTATTTATGAAGTGCCAACATTTCACGTAAATTAGAAGAACTATGGAACAGAAGAAAAGCAAGAGTAAAAAGGAAAAAAAGATGATAGTCAAACTCACTAATAGTAGGCATAGTAAAAGTAGCACCAAGTTTCTAGAACAATCTACTTTCTCTTTCTTAATGCCTACTGATTTTCCAATTGCACAGCCTTATCAACTCCTTTGATTCCAAGGATAACGCAGTCTCCTTGGGTGGCTCCAGCCAATGAATTGCCTTTCTTTGTTCTCCCTGAACCCATATCTTTAAAGTCAGGTAAATCATTCCTTTGCCCACGTTAGTATGTATGGTAGTTTTCATTCAGATGCCTGAGAAGCCAGTCAGCTGGATAAAGTACATGGGTTTGATCCCATGATACTATTAGTAATTATTTCTGCATATGGAATTCTTTTCAAAATCAAACATTGTTGACGCTGCAGACGACTTCATGAATTACACGTAAGTTTTATGTCATGGTAACTTAGAAGGACAAGGGGGAAAGAAAGGAAGAGTAGGAACAGGTGAAGAAGATGATTTTTAAAATAACAGGAAAACCACTAAGGAAAAGACTATCATCACCTCCAATTTGCAAAGCAAGAGAGAGAAATTGGTTTCTCTCCTTCACACTGCCGGAAATACTCCAGTTCCTTTACAAATGATCAAATATTAAATGGACTCAAATGTTTTTTAAAAAAGCAAAATACAGAAAAAAAAAATGACTATTTTTACAACCGCAGTAGTACTCCCTTATCTGTAGGGAATACATTCCAAGACCCCTAGCGGATGCCTGAAACTACGGATAATACCAAATTCTATATACCGATACTATGCTTTTTCAGTCTGATAACTGAAACAGCTACAAAGTGACTAACGAGCAGATAAAGAAAATAAAATTTACTAAACTGAAGGACATCATATAGATTGAAAAGAACCACTGAGTACCCATTGTAGTAAATGAAAAGAAGACCGCAACAGCGTATGTCACTGTAAAATTTCAGAACACTAGGGGGAAAAATCTTGTGGGTGTAGTAAGGGAAAAAAAATCTATAGTAGTTCTCTGTTTTTTCCTGTAATATACATAACTATGATAAAGTTAATTTATAAATTAGGCACAGTAAGAGATTAACAATAACTAATAATAAAATATTATGATTATATAACAATATGTCAGCATTACAGCTCTTGGGCTTTGGGACCATTATTAAATCAAATAAACATGATTCGAACACAAGCACTCTGAAATCGCAACACTGGATCTGATAACTGAGACTGCTACTAAGTGCCTCGGGCAGGGAGGCCTTTCAGTGTGGAGACGCCAGACAAAGGGGTGACCCACCTCCTGGGCAGAATGAATCCAATGGTGTGAATCTCTGCTCAGAATGACGTGCGATTTAAAACTTATGAATTAGGCCGGGTGCGGTGGCTCACGCCTGTAATCCCAACACTTTGGGAGGCCAAGGTGGGAGGATCACATGAGGCCAGGAGTTCGAGACCTGCCTGGGCAACATGGCAAAACCCCATCTCTACCAAAAATTGAAAAATTAGCCCATGTACCTCAGAAATATATAAAATATTTTGTATCAGTAAAAAAAGAAGCAAATATGTACAATCAAAAATGGAATGAATTTGCTGCTAAAGTAACACGAATGTATTCAGTCAGAGGGTAGAATTAGGTTTCAGGATTATTGTTAAGGAAATTTTTGTGTTGGGAGAGGCTTGGATTCAATGAATTAATGAAAGCCATAGTGATTGAAAAGTAGTACTCTACAGAAACATTATAGCAATAACAGTGGCTCTTTTGTGTGATATGGTCAGGTGAAGAACTAGTTGGTTATTAGGATGCCAAATATTCTCCTTATGTATAGATGCTCTCTCTTTCTTTGTGTGAATTTGTGGCCTTCTATTTATAACTCATCCATAATTCAGTTTGCAAATGATCTTTGTAGAAGTAATAATTTATTTCTATGACATTTAAACTTCACTAATGTCCGTAATGAACAAATCCTCAAAACTACTTCATTGCTGAAGAATTCTAATGATTACTTAGTAATACTAATATTATAAATAAAGACCAACATTACCATACATATTATATTGATAATTAATGCCCATAAGTGAGATATCATCAACTCCATTACGACTATGCTCATAAGACATCAAACCTGTTAAACCACCAGCCAGACTGATCTTCTTCTGCGCAGTTCCCGTCATAGTTATCATGATCTCTGTCCCACGTGCTAAATTTCATTCTTTGGTGAGTAGCCCACCACTGCACCTCAGGATGAAAACTCCCCGCAAGGGAATCTCCAGCTGTTCCAGAATATTCCCCAATATTCAGCTCATAGAAATTCTAAAGAAAAAGAGCAATTTCTAATGTCAGTAGAGTTCCTCTATGACCATATTAAAATGAAGTTTATTTCATAAACAAAAGAACAGGCTCTATTGTGTATTTTTATTTCCACTGACTCCAGGGTTTTATTGCACATTTTAAGCATTTATTTATGGTGTTACTTATTAGAAAATTGTAGTACCTTTTCATCTCCAACTTTGAAATTCTTATATTGTGCATAACGGCTATTTTTTTCAAAATCTGCAAGGTCGATTTTTAAAGTGTAGTCTTCTAAAAATGAAATAAGAAATTATGATTTTTAAAAATGCGTGATATGACATGGACTACAGCGGATTAAAAATAATTCACAGCTCTATTTTACTTTTACCATTTTCTTTGGCCAAGAACCGGTTTTCAAGGATTAAACAGCGACTCCATTGTATTTATAACATGAACATTTTATCGTGTAATGTATTGTAAGAAAATGATGGATACAATATGAAATTTAAAAAATGTCTACTAGATCTCTCAGAGGTAAAAGCTAGTGCAATTCTCTTAATAATGAACAACAGAAAAAATAAGTCATTACTTAAATCAATCTAACAATGAAAGGACTGACGTTTTTACGTTTAATAGTTTGTCCTCTTTTTCTTGATTTCAGTAAGAATGTTGATCTTGAACGTAAATGGCAACTATTAATGACATCGTGTAATTTTTTTGTAGCTGAGCCACTAGGTTTGTAAAATGTAGTTGCTATTACCTGCATATGCCCGAACTTGGTTATTTTCCTGATAGCATAAAAGATCAGCCAGCAAACCCTTTAAGAATAATTTGAGGAAGAAATACGAATCCTAATTGTTATCTGAAAACCTTCCTTTGATAATAGCTCATAAGATCAAGAGACTAGCATCAAAGTTTATAGAGTGGATGTCATTGGAGAATTTCAGAGACAACAAGGAAACATTCCTGAGAAATGCTGTACCACCAATATTCTCAATGGAGGAGATGATGATAATTACTGGAAAATACACTAACATCAATGACTCTGAGTAAAAAGGTATTTCTGAAGAGTTGATATCAACGTGTAAAAGCATTTTAAGAATACAATGGGGCCGGGCGCTGTGGCTCACGCCTGTAATCCCAGCACTTTGGGAGGCCAAGGCAGGCGGATCATGAGGTCAGGAGATCAAGACCATCGTGGCTAACGTGGTGAAACCCCGTCTCTACCAAAAATACATAAAAAATTAGCCGGGCGTGGTGGCAGGCACCTATAGTCCCAGCTACTCGGGAGGCTGAGGCAGGAGAATGGCATGAACCTGGGAGGTAGAGCTTGCAGTGAGCCAAGATCGCTCCACTGCACTCCAGCCTGGGCGACAGAGCAAGACTCCATCTCAAAAAAAAAAAAAAAAAAAGAATACAATGTATTGGGTATATATTCTCTTTTATATATGCTAAAAAATGATATATGATGACAACAAATCTCTAAACATTAAAGATATACTTTAATGACTGTAAAAATTCTAAGTGATAAAAGAGCATTACGTTTTTAAAATGATTAAAATAGTTGCTACCTTCAAGTAATCTTTTTATTGTTGTTGTTCCATTGTTTGGAAATAACAAAGGCTTCCTGTTTCAGAAACAGAACTCTTGTCTGGGGCACTGAAGGTTATAAATCAAATTATTAGATCATATGTGTTCTATCCTCCTACTTTGATAAATAAGATATAACAATGACCTGTAAGGTCAGGTTAGAATTTAGAGCCTCACATTCCTTGGAGTTTCAAGCCAGACCATGGAGGCACCGGGAAAGAGAGTCCCTGAATAGTTCTACCACCTAGGTCACATCTATGGTTGGCCTCTTCTGTCTTCCCATCCCCATCTCCATCACTTATAGCAAGGGGCTTTGGATCCCCTTGTGGACATCCGAGGCTGCATATCCAAGCTCTATTCACACCCAAGGTGGATGGATTACAGGGTCAGGGGATCGAGACCATCCTGGCCAACATGGTGAAACCCCGTCTCTACTAAAAATACAAAAATTAGCTAGACATTGTGGCGCATGCCTGTAATCCCAACTACTCAGGAGGCTGAGGCAGGAGAATTGCTTGAACCCAGGAGGCAGAGGTTGCAGTGAGCCGAGATTGTGCCACTGCACTCCAGCCTGGCGACAGAGCAGGACTCCATCTAAAAAAAAAAAGCCTTTCTTTAGCCTCCCCTCAAGCTTAAGGGTGCACACACCAGCAGCAGAAAAGGACAGACAAGAGAACAGCCTGAAGGAGTCCTATAAACAAACGCAAGGCTGTGGGGCAGGGAATGCTGGATTCCTCATGACTGGAGTCCGTTTAAGAGGGGATGCGGGCCTCTTGGGCTTGTTAATTTAGCACCACAGTTGCCTTGCCCCAGGGAGCTCTCTCAAGGTAGTAAAGGTCACGTGAGACAAGACTGTAGAGTGTATAAGAGCAGCAAGGCAGGCTAAGTCAACTGTCTTTAAAAATACTCTGTTACAGGCCAGATGCGGTGGTTCACACCTGTAATTCCAGCACTTTGAGGGGCTGAGGCAGGCAGATCACTTGAAGTCAGGAGTTTGAAACCAGCCTGGCCAACATGGTGAGTCCACCGTCTCTACTAAAAATACAAAAATTAGCTGGGTGTGGTGGTGTGCGCCTATAATCCCAGCTACTCAAGAGGCTGAGGCATGAGAATTGCTTGAACCAAGAAGCAGCGGTTGCAGTGAGCCAAGGCAGTCCAGCATGGGCGACAGAGCAAGAATCTGTCTCAAAAAAAACAAAAAACAAAACAAAACAAAAAAACCTGTATTATAGAAGAGACATAAAGTCTCAGTTTTTTGGCTAACCATTTAAATGTCTCTGTGTTCAGTAAGTAAACAAATTACGTTTACCATTTCTAAATCAATTTTATGGCCACTACTTGTAGTCAAGGTTTATGTAGTGGGGATAAAGCCTTTCCCAGAGGTAATTCATTAGCCATAATGCTCTCATAATTAAAGAATGCAGAGACAAAAGCACTGCCTATTGTCTGGGTTATTGGGATACATGATTGTGGGCCTAGGTAGTGAAAAATACATTTTTACTGCCATGAGATTAGCCAGCCTGAGTACCAAGTTGAAATATGAACGGGAACAGGTTTGTTGGCAAAGTTCCTCTGGGCAAATATGTACATCATAATACCTTGAAAAATAATAAGTTTGAATTTCATATATTTAGAAAGATCCAAGGGTTACTGCTCTGGGGTTTTCATAGTTTTAATAAGAAACCAGACAAATATCAACGTGCAAAATAAACAGAAGCTGGTATGGCAAATTTTATGTATCTGGCGTAAAACACTTAAAACTAGAATAATAGATATGTTGAAGGAAAGGAAGCCTTATATAAATTTGGAGAGCACTGATCATAAGAAGGACATATAAAGAAAGTATAAGGTTTCTAGGATTACTCATCCTGTCTAATGTTTATTATTCTAGTGTCTCAAAGAACTTTATAACCATAATCCTACTACTATAAATATAGAAACACCAATAGCTTTCCAGAACTTGGGTGGAAAAAATGAACTCTTGTTTTATTTTAATTAATTTTTTATTATTATTATTATTATTAGAGATGGAGTCTCACTCTGTCATCCAGGCTAGAGTGTATTGGCACAATCTCGGCTCACTGCAACCTCCGCCTCTTGGGTTCAAGCAATTCTCTTGCCTCAGCCTCCTAAGTGGCTGGGATTACAGGGATGAGCTACCATGCCTGGCTAATTTTTGTATTTTTAGTAGAGACAGGGTTTCACTGTATTGACCAGGCTGGTCTCAAACTCCTGGACTCATGGGGTCCACCTGCCTCGGCCTCCCAAAGTGCTGGGATTACAGGTATGAGCCACCATGACCGGCTGTTTTATTTTTAATGCAATTGCAGTGTAACTTAGCATGCTTTCTTGGGCATTACAGTTGCCTTTTATGAAGGATTCAGGATAAGACTTGAGTGGGACTGACGGTAATCTCAGACTACAACAGAGGTAGGGAAGATAATGGATTGGAGCAAAAGAACATAGGAGACAGAAGCTTGGAAAATTTGTTATCAAAGCAATGACATTTTAGACAAATATGAAACTCTAAAGATAAGAATTTAAAAGTATATAGGGAGAATTGTCCAGATGTCTGCTATTTACTTTGAAATATATATACAGAAAAGATGGATTGGTGGATGGATTGAGTAATGGGCAAATGGATAGACACGTAATAAAAACAAGCAAAGTAAAATGTTAATGTAGCATACAGGTGATAGGTTGAAACTTCTTTCAAATTGATTGCATCTTTGAAAAAATTTCAACATAAAAGATGAGAGGTATGTGGAAACATGGACATTTCATATATTATGGTATTTTATTGGAAAAATAGCGCCAGTTCCCCAGTTTTTCACCTCCCTCTCATAATATGTCTTCGTAACTCCTCCCATTGCTTATTTCCTTTTTAAAAAAAGTCTGAGCTGCCCCTGTAATTTGCTTTCACCAATAGAAGAAAAATGATTCCGTGCCAGTTCTGAGCCTAGATCTCAAGAGACTTACATACATCCACTCTTTTTTCTGGAACCCTGCGTGTGCTACAAGACCAAGTCCAGGCTAGCCAGCTGGAAGATGAGAGACCCTATGGAGCCCGGTGGAATCCTTCCATCCTAGAGCAGCAACTTCAATCAGGAAGTTGATTGCACATTCATAAGCAAGCCCAGCCATGATCAGCAGAGCCCAGCCCTGATCAGCAAAATCACCCAGCCAACCTGCAGATTTGTGAGAAGTAATAAATGGCTGTTGATTTTAAGCCACTAGCTTTGAAAGGGGATTGTTACACGGTATTATTGTGACATTCGATAACTGATACAGTATATATAATCTTCAGGAACTCAAGGCATCAAAAAAGAATAATTATGACATTTTGTATCCTTTTCAGAAATAGAATATCTATATATTCTATATAGATATATAGATATATGTGATATATATGATATATATCTATATATCTAATATATAGTGATATATATCTATATATTAGATTATATATTATCTATATAGTGATATATATCTATATATCTAATATATAGTGATATATATCTATATATCTAATATATAGTGGTATATATCTATATATCTAATATATAGAGATATATATCTATATATCTAATATATAGAGTGATATATATCTATAAATCTTATATATA